CCCCCCCCCAACAGGATAAGGATAGCATGGGGTTAGATACAGAATAAAGCTTCCTGTACACTGTACCCCCATCAAACATCAAACACCAACTCCCGCTCCCCCACCCCCCACCCTCCCCCAACAGGATAAGGACAGCATGGAGTTAGATACAGAGTAAAGCTCCCTCTACACTGTCCCCCATCAAACACTCCCGGGACTGGTACAGCACAGCATTAGATACAGAGTAAAGCTCCCTCTACACTGACTCCATCAAACACTCAAGATTAATCCAACGTGGTTGTCACTTGCAATGAACCATCAGACTGTCCTGCCCTTGGAGCGAGCGGGCAGACAGAAAAGGCGGTCCCTACCTTGAGGCAGTGCCGAGAGCTGTGATCCAAGCCTGAAATATCCCACCGTAGAAGGTGAGTGGGTTCTTCTTGGTGATGAGGAGATAGATGGAGGGGAGAATGAGGGTGCCGTGAATAACAAGGCCCACCATCACTGTCACCATGTACATGCCGAGCTGCTGGGCAACCACCTCCAGGTCCTTGATGGCTGCGATCTTCCCACAGATCAGGGAGGCGATTCCCAACGGAGAGTACCTGCCAGCACAACATATATATGCACATCAGCGTGCCCTCTGCCCATCAGTATGGCCTGAAACCAGGTGAGTAAGGATGGTTAGAGAGAGAGACCCCAGCAGGATTCCTGAGGCCTCCTTTGCTAATGGTGAAGTTTCATCATGGTAACCAAGGACCCACCATCTCCGTCCGCAGGGCAACTCCCTCACCCTCTCGCCTCTAACACATTGGGTTTTTGGGTTAAAGCCTCAATGCGGAGATTGGAGCATGTCATTTAGGCAGATACTGTCAGAGCAGGGCTGAGGGAGGGCTACGCCGTTAGAGGTAACACCTTTCCACTGAGACGTCAAATCAAGGTTCCCATCTAAGGCAGACTTCAAAGATCCCTTTGTAATGTTCCAAGGAGCAAGACATGCTGTGCTTCGTGTCCAATACTTATCCCTTTACCAACATCATTAAAACCAGAAGAGGCTATGTACGCATTTCCTGCCGAGCTTCCCACATTATAACAGTGACTGACACTCCATCGGTACTTCCCTGGCTCTAAAGCACATTGAGCTGGCCTGAAATTGGCAAAGGCCTAATAGAAATGGTCAGTCATGGAACAGGTCCAGCACAGAAGGAGGTCATTCAAATCGTCATGTGTGTACACATTCTCCCTGAGTGCCTCTCTGTTAGTCCCACTCCCCCTGGCCTTTCCCTTCAAATCTTCTCTCTTCGGATAATTGTCCAGTTCCCTTTTGAAAGTCCTGATTGAGTCTGCCTCCACCTCACTCTCAGACTGTGCGGTCGAATTCCTGATGATTCGCTGTGTAAAAATGTTTGGCCTCATGTCGCCATTTCTTCTTTAGCCAACCTTAAATCCATGCCCTCTGGCTCTCAATTCTTTCATCAGGTGGTAACAGTGTCTCTGTACCTACTCCACCCAGAGCCTCCGGACTTTAAACACCTTCTATCAAATCTGCAATCAACATTCTCATCTCGAGCAGAATGTAGCAGTAGGCCATTCAGCCCCTTGAGCTTGTTCCACCATTCAACGAGATCATGGCTGATCTGTAGCCTAGCTCCCTATTCCTACCTGTGGCCCATATCTTTCAACATCCTTAACATAAAATGACCTATCTCAGATTTAAAGCTTATAACTCATCCACTTCATCCTGCCATTTGTGGAAGAGAGTTCCAAACATCTACCACCCTTTATGTATAGAAGTGCTTCCTGACATCTTTCCTGAACAGTCTGGTCCTAATTCTCAGATTATTCCCCCTCGTTCTAGAATCCCCAACCAGTGGAAATAATTTGTCTTTATCTACCCTGACTTTTCCTGTTAATATCTTCAAGACTTCAATCATAACACCCCTCAACCTTCTAAATTCTTGAGAAAAATGGCCAATTTACATAACTTAACCCTAAAGTCCAGGTATCATTTTTTGTAACCTATATTGTACTCCCTCCAGGGCCAATATGATGTTCCTAAGGTGTGGTGCCCAGGTCTGCTCATAGTACTCCAAGTGGGGTCTAACCAGGATTTTGCATAATAGCAGCGTAGCGTCTGTGCCTTTATACTCCAGTGCTCCAGCTATAAAGGTCCCAGCTTCACCAACGTATCCAGGTAATGGAAACTGCAAGTTCTTGCGAATCTTTAGTGCACCATCTCTAAGGCCTGTTTTAAGTTTGATGCCCATACTGGGCACAGTACACCAGTTGAGGCTGTCCAAACTATTTGCCACATCTCTCTTGGTTTGTAAGCTACGCTTTTATAAAGCCTGGGGATCCCGTATGCTTTCACTAATCACGTCCCGCTGTGCCAGTGACAATGTAACTCACCCCTCCACAACCCCACAAAGTTCTTCTGTGCCTCATTCAGTGACCTCCACCCAGGCTCGCCAGGTTGTGTGCCCCTCGTTGAAGAAATCGCCCTTACCACATGATCATTGAAACCAGCTTCATGATGATTTCATTGAGAACGTTGAAGAACTCAGCCATGATATGTGCCCTTTCACCCATCTTCCCCATGGATATCCCAAACGCAATGAAGAATCCAATCAGTCCTAGGGGACAAATGGAAATTTAACAACAAAGTCAAGCTATTGTATTAAATATAGAGAGAGTCATATAGTCTACAAATACAGAAGGAACATATAGGTAAAGGGCTGCACAAGACATTGAATCATAAAGTCCCTACATTGTGGAAGCCGGCCATTTGGCCCATCGAGTGCGCACCAATCCTCCAAAGAGCAGCTCATGCAGACCTACTCCATCCCTGTAACCTGGCATTTCCTACAGCTAACCCACCCAGCCTGCACATCCCTGCACTCTATGGGGCAATTTAGCATGGTCAATCCACCCTAACCTGCACATCTTTGGACTGTGGGAGGAAACCGGAGCACCCGGAGGAAACCCACACAGACACGGGGAGAATGTGCAAACTCCACACAGACAGTCGCCCGAGCGTGGAATTGAACCCGGGTCCCTGGCGCTGTGAGCAACCGTGCTGCCCCCATTAGCTAGGCTAGTTTTGGAATAGTGCTTTCGATTCTGGTGTCCCTGCTACAGAAAATATGTTGTGAAACTTGGAAGGGTTTAGAAATGATTTACAAGGATGTTGCCAGGGTTGGAGGGTTTGAGCTATAGGGAGAGGCTGAATAGGCTGGGGCTATTTCCCCTGGAGCATTGGTGGTTGAGAGGTGACCTTGTAGAGGTTTACAAAATCATGAGGGGCATGGATAGGGTGAATAGTCAAGGTTTGCTTCCCTGGGAGTCCAAAACCAGAAGGGCATAGGTTTAAGGTGAGAGAAGAAAGATTTAAAAGGGACCTAAGGGGCAATGTTTTCATGCAGAGGGTGGTGTGTGTATGGAATGAGCTGCCAGAGGAAGTGGTGGAGGCTGGTACAATTACAACATTTAAAAGGCATCTGGATGGATACATGAGTAGGAAGGGTTTAGAGGGATATGGGCCAAATGCCGGCAAATGGGACTAAATTAATTTAGGATATCTGGACGGCATGGACGAGTATTTGAGCAGGAGGAAAGATGTCTCTTGTTCCAATTGTATAAAGCTTTGGAGTGCCACAGCCTGGAGCACAGTTTGGTGTCCTTATCTGAGGAAGAATGTATTTGCTACAGAGAGCATTCAATCAAGATCCATCACCTGAACCCTGGGAAGGCAGGATTGTCTAATGAGGAGAGATCAAGAGAAGTGGGCCTGTAATATCTACAGTCTCAAAGAATAAGAGGTAATCGCACTGAAACGTACAAGTTTTATACTGGCTAGGGGAATGAAGGGAGTCAGTCATAGAAACAAACAAAATAGGAGCAGGTGTAGGCCATTCGGCCCTTCAAGCCTGCTCCACCATTCAATATGATCGTGGCTGATCATCCAACTCAGGACCCTGTTCACACTTTCTCCTCCACACCCTTTGATTTCTCTAGCCCTAATACCTATATCTAACACCTTATTGAAAACATTCAATGCTTTGGATTTCTGGGGCAGAGAATTCCATGCTCTCAGTTTTAATGCTCTCAGTCTCGTTATCCGACTCTATCCCCAGAGCATGCTTTAGTAATCGTAACGAGGTTAGTCGGGTGGACCTCATAGAATATGAGTTCCCTGATTGGGGCTGTTAATCTGGTTCAATCAGGGAGCCCTGACTGACAGATAGAAACAGGAGTGTCAGAGGCTCTGTTCACTCTGAGAGCTGGCTCTGAGGGAGCTGAATCGGTGTCGAGTACAATGCACCTGTAAATAAAGGGTGACTTGGTGATGAGATACCAGCCTCTGTGGAGTTATTTCACATGTTATTTCACACATTCATTTCCTTCAAGTACCCTCTCAATTTCTTTTTGAAATCATTGACCATCACTCCTCTCCCCTCCCCCATGGGCAGCCAGTTCCAGTTCATTACGACTTGCTGTGTAAACATGGCCTGTCTCACATAACCCCCTTCCCCTTTTTGCCCCAAAATCCTAACTCAGTGTCCCCCTTGTCTTTGTTACCATGATTTAATGGAAGGAGCTTTTCACTGTTAGCCTTATCCAAACCAGTCAGGATTTTGAACAAGTTGAATAAATCCTGTTTGTTCCAAGGAGAACAATCCTAGCTTCTCCATCCTGACTGAATCATAGGATCATTACAGTATGGAAGCAGGCCATATTTAAGCCCATTAAGTCCACACTGAGCCTCCAGAGAGCACCATATCCAGACCCACCCCATCCAGGTCTATCCCTACATTTCCCATGGCTAACCCACCTAGCCTGTCCATCCCTGGACACTATGGGGAAATTTAGCACAGCCAATCCAACTCAACCTGCACATCTATGGACTGTGGGAGGAAACTCCCACAAATTCTCTGTGGGAGAATTCCATGCTCTGAGCTCAACAATCTGAGTCTCGTTGCCTGACTCTATCTCCAGAGCCCTGCTCGCTGCAGTAATTGTAACCAGGTCAGTCAGGTGGACCTCATAAATCTGAGCTCCCTGATTGGGGCTGTTAATCTGGTCCAATTAGGGAGCCTTGGCTGACAGAGGGCAGGCACATTGACACGGGGAGAATGTGCAAACTCCACACAGACGGTCGGCCGAGGGTGGGATCGAACCCGGATCCCTGGCGCTGTGAAGCAGCAGTGTTAACCACTGAGTCTCCGTCCCATCTGTGCGGCTAAAAGCCCTCATCCCTCAAACCATTTGCGTAAACCTCCTCCACGTCCTCTTGTGAACCCTCACACCCTCTATAAATTGTGAAGCCTAGGAACTGAGGGAACCCTTAGCCTGAATGTGACTGCTCATAGTATTTTTGAACAGTAACATCATCCAAAATTACATTGTAGCAAATGCACTGTTATTTAAGATATCTCACCACTGCCATGAATTGGGTGTAATTGAATTGTGAAGTGAGGGTTACATTTTATAGTAATGTAGGCAGTCCAGAGAAGGTTCACCAGGCTGATCCCACACATGGAGGGACTGTCTTATCAGGAGAAGCTGAGTAGTTTGGGACTGCGCTTATTGGAGTTTAGAAAAGAGGGAGAGAGAGAGGTGGCACATGTAAAATCCTTAGGGTGCTTGACAGGATAGATGAAGAAAGCTTGTGGGAGAGTCCAAGAAACAGAAGGCATAATCTCAGAGTAAGGGGTCATCCATTTAAGGCAGCAATAAAGAGGATTTTTTAAATGTCGGTTAGTGAATCTGTGCAATTCTTTACCGCAGAGGGCTGTAGGGGCTGGGTCAAGAAGTATACTGAAGGCTGAGCTAGACAACTTTTTTAATCAGTAAAGGAATCAGAGGGGAAAAGGCAGAAAAGTGGAGTTGAGTGTTTTCAGATCACTCTCTATCTCATTGAACGGTTGAGTTGAATTGGGCTTCTGCTCCCATGTCTTATGGTCTTCAAGGTGTAGACTAGAGTGGTCCCACCACACACAATACTGGAAAGTTTAGAACATTCCCTCCTGAACAACACTGAGGGGCTACTTACATCACTGGGATTGCAGTGGCTCAAGAGGATGGTTCAATTCGATGCTTTCAGTTGGGAGTGGGCAACAAATTGAAGGGCAGCATGGTGGCTCAGTGGTTAGCACTGCTGCCTCACAGCGCCAGGGACCTAGGTACGATTCCACCCTCGGGTGAGTGTATGTGTGGAGTTTGCACATTCTTCCAGTGCCTGCATGGGATTCCTCCGGGTGCTCTGGTTTCCTCCCACAGTCCAAAGATGTGCATGTTAGGGTGGATTGGCTGTGCTAAATTGCCCATAGTGTCCAGAGATGTGTAGGCTAGGTGGATTGGCCATGGGAAATGTAGAGTTACAAGGATACGGTAGGGGGATGAATCTGGGCGGAATACTCTTCAGGGGGTTGGTGCGCTTGCAATGGGCCAAATGGCCTGCTTCTGCATTGTGGGGATTCTTCTGGTTATGTCGTATTTTACATGTTGCAGTTTCCTCGGAAAAGGAACGTTAGCATTTTTCTCCATCCTTCCATCCCAATGGCGTTCTTAACCATTCACCTATTCAGCTAGTGGCCAACATTTCCTCTGTAAACACCAATCCCCCTCCCGAAGCTGCTGCCATGCAAATGAACCTTGGGAGGTCTAGCAACAGCAAGACAAACAGGAAGGAGAAAGGTTGGTTGTGGCCCCAGGTTACAGCCCCCATTGTGTCCTTCGATATTTGACACAAAATTCAAGGTCAAGCGTCTCGTTCTGCTCAAGCGTTGGCCACGTCTTCGGCAACATCTTATTTTCATCAACTGTGAGGAATCTACCCATCCAGAAAAGCATCCAACATGGCGCCTCTCCTCCGCAGAACCATGGTGTGAAATTAATAAAGCTATTGAGTAAGAGAGCCATGCTTCCTACCTAGAACATTCATCCCCCATTTGAGCTCCAGTTGTTTCTTCGTTATGAAGATCTGCCGGGCATTGGCAGCAGGCAGGGTCCCATTTGGGAAGGAAACATTCGATGTGACCGCTTGGGTTGAGTTGTCCAACTTGACGTCATCAGGGAGAGAGACTAGAACCTTCTTTGATACTGTCTGCACCTAATTGACCAAATCAATCCAGTTAGTAAAATGTACTGCAACATTTTCCAATAACCGCACTTGTTTTATTCCATTAGAAACATGACATTGACAACAGACACATGCTGGGATTGTTTAATCTATTCAGGGACCTGAATTTAAAATGGTAACCCTAGCAACAGTGCAGAGAATGTAGGCCAATCCAATTGATTGTGCTTTGAAGGAATTCTGTAAATGAAAATAACAACACACATCCTTGTTTAGCCAATTACCAACCAATAAGGTTGATATAGAGCTACTCTCAAAGTCAACATCACAATTAATAGTATTGTCAATCCATCTGGTATCTGTCCATCAATCCACTGCACATCTATCTTTATCTTAGTTACAACAATTTGCATTCGTATTGTACCTTTAAGAGAATAAACCATCCCAAGACGCATTGCTGTTGTCTTTTCTAGATGACACTATGAGGGGACATCAGGAGAAACTGGTTTAAATAGGAAAGTTTTTACAGAATGATGGAATGAAATAGAGGTGGAGAAAGGAGCATTAGAGCTCTGGACCCAGAGAGCTGCCTCAGGGTGGAGAGAGTGGTAGCAAGGTTAAGGGAGGGCATTCTAATAATGGATAATGGTTTCGTGGTCGGCATCACTGGGACTAGTTTCCAATTGCAGACTGTCTCACTGCATGAAGTTGTATTCCCCCAGCTGCTGCAATGGAATTGAACCTCCTCCATGTCCACAGCATTAACCTAGACTTTTGGATTAACAAGTTCATGACATTATCACTAATACCAGCAACTCTCCATATGGATAGATCAATGGAAATTTTCTAAAACCTCACTTGAGAGTATTTAATGAGTGCAAAATGTAGCTCAGTGAGTAGTGTCAGACTCAACCCCACTCCAAAGTGTTGAGCACAGAGTGTAGGCCAACTGCCACAGCACAGCTCTGAGAGAGCTTTCAGATTGAAGCTACTGTCAGCAGAATGTAAGAGATTCGATTGCAGCATTTGAGAAAGAGCAGGGAATTTCTCCACCGTGTCCTAGCAAATATCCCTCAACAAATTTCCTTAACAGGTCAATCAGGGCTTTCTCAAAGTGTGAGCTCTGAGGCAGCAATGGCCTACTATGCAGTTCCAATCAATTTACAACAGTTCTGAGGCTACTTCAAAGGACACTAACACTCACAGCCATCCTGGACCATCACAGGACTCCACCCATCACCTACAGGACTCCACCCATCACCTACAGGTCTCCACCTCTCACCTACAGGTCTTTATCCCTCACGTGCAGGACTCCACCCATCACCTACAGGTCTCTATTCCTCACCTACAGATCTGCATCCCTCACCTACAGATCCTCACCCATCACCTACGGGTGTCTATTCCTCACCTACAGATCTGTATCTCTCACCTACAGATCCTCACCCATCACCTACGGGTCTCTATTCCTCACCTACAGATCTGCATCCCTCACCTACAGATCCTCACCCCTCACCTACGGGTCTCTACCCCATCACCTATAACTATCTACCCATCACCTATGGGTTTTTCCCCCTTAGCTATGGGTCTCTACTCCTCACTTATGGGTCTCTAGCCCCTTAGCTACAGGTCACTACCCCCCACCTATGGGCGTCTACCCCTCACTTACGGGCCTCTACTCCCCACCTATGGGTCTCTACTCCTCACCTATGGGTCTCTATCCCTCACCTATGGATCTCCACCCTTCCCCTATGGGTCTTTACCCCTTAGCTATGGGTCTCTACTCCTCACCTATGGGTCTCCAAGTCTCTCTCTCCTCTCTACCCTCAATCTCACCAGTTGTGAAAATACTCACGACTCTAGATAGGATCATGGAGGGAACTGCTTTGGGAAGCACTAATTACCTGCTCCTTATCACATTGTGAGAATTTGCCAATTGTCTTCCAGTTTATAAAGTAGTTCAATGATTGTAAAGCACTTTGTGATATCCAACGGTAATGGAAAAGAGCTTCCTAAATACAAGTCCTTCTCCGTACCCAACCTGGAGGCAGTGCCATCCCACAATTAGAGAACCAGAGTCTAATTAATCTGAACTGAGGTTACCTGTTGGAAACATGCTTGAACAAGGTTTTCCGGGAACAGATTCCGTATGAGATCCAGGAAGGCGTCCAAACTTGACACTTCGGGGTTCCTGGATATCACGGTCATTGACTTCTTGAGCTTTTGGTTGCCAGGGTGGATGGCAATCACCAGAACCACACCGAGAGCAGTAGCAATGACCGTCGTGGACATGTAATACACCAAGGCCCGGGAGCCCATCCTCCCACTTGATTTGGCATCAAGGCTCGCAAGCCCTGGAGAGAGAAGGGAACAATGGTCAGGGGGAGTGCTGCCTCATGAGAATATTGTAATTCCAGAGGAAATAAGTTCATAAGACCAGAAAACGTAGGAGTGGAACAGCCCATCAAATCTACTCCACCATTTAAGAGATTGTGGCTCATCTGACAACCCTCAACTCTATTATACTGCCCTTTGCTCACTGCCCTCATTAAAAACAAAAACAAAGTTGCTGGAAAAGCTCAGCAGGTCTGGCAGCATCTGTGAAGGAAAAAAATAGAGCTAACATTTCGGGTCTGGTGACCCTTCCTCAGAACAGGACCTGAAATGTTAACACTGTTTTTTCCCTTCACAGATGCTGCCAGACCTGCTGAGCGTTTCCAGCAACTTCTGTTTTTGTTCCTGATTTACAGCATCCGCAGTTCTTTCGGCCCTCATTAAAAATCTGTCTAACTCAGCCTGGAGTAGCCTGAATGACTCAGCAGATTCACTACCCTCATCGCGATCTTAAATGTCATTCTTAGATTATGCCGTTAAGACCATAAGAAATTGGAACCGGACTAGGCTATTCAGCCCCTCCAACCTGCACCACAATTCAATTGGATCGTGGCTGATCTGACATACCTCAAATCCACCTTCCTGTCCTTTCCCCATAACCCTTGATTCCCCAGCTGATCAAAAATCTATGTCAGCCTTAAATATTCACAAGGACTCAGCGTTCCATGGCAAGGAGTTCCCAAAACACATAAGCTTCTAATGGAAGAAGTTCCTCCTCATCTCAATCTTATATATTGGCATCCCTTTAATCTAAGACTATGCCTTCTGGTCCTCAACTCTCCCACAACAGTTCCACCCGTGCCATGAGCATCTTGCCTCTTTCCAATGCTGACTGACTTGCTGTACAAATGTGCGAACGTTCAAATTGGGACCAGGAGTAGGCCATTCAGCCCCTTTAGTCTACTCCACCATCAAATGCGACCTTGGCCTCAGCTCCACATTTCTACCCACCCCCAAGAACCATCGACTCCCCTGTCAGTCAACAATCGATTTATCTCTACCCTAAAGATAATCAATGGCCCTGCCTCCTTTGGGAGTACCACAGACTCACAACAGTCTCAGATAAAAGAAAAATTCCTCGTCATCTCCATCTGAAATGGCTGCTCCACCACTCTCTCACTTTTTTACCACTGTATTCATTGTTGACCTTCCAGGGACGTCTTTATTTTTTGCCCAAGCATCGCTGAAGTTGTGAGGCCTCCTTTCATTTTAGCATCAAAACATCCCATCACACCCTATTCTATTGTCATTCAGAATCCTTCCCTGGGTATTTCCTTTGGAAACACTGGAGGGTTAAGAGTGGGGTCTAGGGTAAAGGGTTAGTTTTAGGAATAATCTGTTTCAACCAAGACTTCCTTGACAAGTTAACAGGCTGTCACTCAATAAATACAAATTTGTCTGAAGCAGTTTGGTTACTTCCTGTGTTACTGGAAGTGGAGAACCAGAATTGCATTTAATTTACAGCACAGAAACTGGCCATTCAGCCCATCCGATATTTATATTCCACTTGGGTCATCTTCCAACCTACTGCGTCTCATTGACAAATTCTTTTCATTCCTTTCTCATTCATATATTTATCACTCTTCCTCTTAAATATACCTTTTATTTGCCTCAACTAATTCCTATGTTAGCTCCACTTTCTGGCCTGGGTATTGAAATTTCTCCTGATTTCTCCTGGTTTTATTAATGATCATTTTCAATTTATGACCCCTAGTTCTAGTCTCTACACAAACAGAAATACATTCTCTATCCTGAGTATATTCTCAATGTTTATCCAGCCTCATCATCAACCTCAATACTATCCCCATTTTCAATGTTTACCCCATGCCCATTCTCAACATCTACCGCGTTTCCATTCTTAATATTTACCCCATCCCCACTCTCAAAGTTTACCCTATTCCTACTCTCGATATTTACTCCATTCCTGCTTTCGATGTTGTCGCGACGTTGGGTAGAGTAATTCTGGATTGGGAGGCAGGAAGTTAGAATTTGGTGTTTTTAAAGTGGTGGGGTGGGGGGCAAGCATTGTGCGGTGCCTTTAAAAGATCATGTGCTTTTTCTGTGCTTAGAGATTTAAAATGGATGTCTTGAGCAGCAGCTTGAAAGTTTGCAAGTACACTGATAGCACACTGAAAGTTCAATTTGAACCAGGTACTTATATACCAAAAACCCATTAAACTTAAGTCTGATGGTTTTGACAACATAGGACCAATCTTATTGTAAGAAATATTGATAAGTCATCAAGGGTATAAAAAGAAGGGGACAGTTGGACAAAGCCCCAGAGTTAGCTGCCATCCGCCAGAGCTAACAGCCCTCAGCTCTCAAGAGAGAATCGCTTGTTCTCAGAGCCTCCTCTATATCTTAGAGAAAGTACCATCTAAATAACAGTGGTACTGATGGCGCAACCAGTTAATATTCCTGACAGAAGAATCAACGGAGAAGGCACAAAACATCCTGGAAGACACGTAACCTGGCTGTAATTTTGAGACATTAAATTCTTTTATTATATAAGTGGGACTTGTATTTATTGGAACAGTATACCTTTAGAATCTTGCTTTATTCAGGAATAGTTAGTAGTTAGAAGGTTTTTTTTGGTTTGTTAATAGTTTAGTTAATTTGTTCACTGTTAGAGTTAGATAAATAAATTATTACTTGTTGATTTTAAAGTGAATGTCAGGGATTTATTTTATTTAGCCACTAGAAGTTGCGGAAAGGCAGGTTACACCACATTTCATTCTCCTTTATTTATGGTGAGGTGCTCCTATTTCAGCGTTTCAGTTCTAGTTCTCAGAGGGGATGTTCAACGTCTGCTTTGTAAAGATTTGGGGCTCATCATCCAGGATATGGACGGATTTTAACAGATTTAGGGTACAAAAGGTCCCAGCAGATTTAAACAGACTAGGGGATTAATGATCTTGATCTGTAAATAAAACTTAAGTGAGAAGCAGAAAATCTGTTAAATTTAATTTGCTTGTTGTTGGTTAAATCAAAAGTGGGGAAATAGTTCTTCACATTGCTAAAGAGGTTCTGGGTATCGAAGATGCTTCCCAAAATTGCCAAGAAAGTTTAGAAAAACAGAGAAAGGTACACTTGCAGAATTAGCAAACAGGCTAAAAGTGTGTTTAACTAGCGGTAACAAGAAAGTTGAAATTGTAACGGAGTTAGCCAAGCGTTTAGCTATCTCAGAGAAGCAGTCAAGTGCATTGGATATAGAAAAAAAACAAATTGCAAATGAGACAGTTGAGATTGGAAGATAAAGAAAGGGAAAGAGGATTCCTAGCTGAAGAAAAAGAAAGGATAGCCAGGGCAGAAGATAAAGAAATGGAACTAAAACAGTTTGAATTACAGTTAAAAGGAGAGGAAAGGGAAAAGGAAAGAATCACCTTAGCAAAACAAAGGGAGAAAGAGAGAGAAGAAATGGAGAAAGAGAGAGAAGAAATGGAAAAAAAAGAGAGAAGAAATGAAGAAGAGAGAAAAGTTTGAACTTCAGAAGTTGGCAATTATACAGGAAAGTCAACATAACAGGATGGAGGTGAAGATAGAAGGTGGACTCAGTGAGCAGGATAGTGATAATGAGCAAAACCATTGTAGCCAAAGGCCTGGTAGGAATATATACAAATATGTTCAAACATTACCAAAATTTGATGAAAAATATGTGGAAGCCTTTTTCATTTCCTTTGAGAAATTGGCTAAACAGAAGAAATGGTAGACAGTGCTAGTGAGATGTTTGCAGTGCTATCAGATGAGGTGCCAGGAGAATATGAGGGAGTAAAACAGGCTAGTTTGAGTGCCTACAAATTGGTATCAGAAACATATAGACAACGGTTCAGAAATATAAGAAAGGAGCCAGGTTAGACTTATAACAAGTTTGAAAAAATTAAACAGAACAACTTGGATAAATGGATGAGAGCATCAAAGATAGAAAAGACATATGAGATATTAGAGAAATTATTCTGCTGGGGGAGTTTAAAATCTCACTTCCAGAAGTGATAAGAACTCATGTTGAGGAACAGAAAGTTAAAGCAGCGAGCAGAGCTGCAGAGATGGTGGATGAATACATATTAGAGCATAAATCGAAATCTAGCTTCCAGCAGCAGTTTCATTCTGTGAGGGATAGAAATTGGGAAAAATGGAGATCCTTCAATGGAAAACAAAAAGTAAACCACCTCACACCGGGAACAATTTACCACGTGTGGAAAAAGAAACCCAAGAGGGTGGAAAAGAGGTGAAAGATCTCAGGTTTTTCCACTGCAATAAGGTGGGACGCCCAAAGTCACAGCGCTGGTGGTTTAAGAAAGGCACTGGGAAAAAGGATGTGGTAAACGAGGCTAAACCCATGGGATCATTTAAGGTAGTGAAGGAAATCCCAAGAGAAGTCGATGAGGTGCAGGAGAGTGCACATCCTAGTCACAGGCTGAAGAGTAAGATAGCACCCAATCTTTTCAAAGACTTCACCTGTGTGGGTAAGGTTTACTCAGGTAGAACGGGGGCGTAGGTAAAGAAGTTAAAATATTGATAGATATGGGAGCTAGTCTGTCTCTAACAGTAAGCAATGAAAATATTTGCACTCCTTCTGAAATTTTGCCCGAGAGAGTGGTAATCTATGGAATAAATGGAGAGAGGTGTAATGTCCCCCTGTGTAAGATAAGGCTAGAAAGTCCAATCAAGACTGGGGAAGTGATAGTGGGAGTGATGGAAAAGTTGGCTATTCCAGGAATACAGTTTATACTTGGAAACAATGTAGGTGGATCTCAGGTGGGAGTGAAGCCCATAGTAATGGAAAATCCAAAAGAAAACCTGGGAATTGAGGGGTTAAAAGAAAAATGCCCTGCAATTTTCCCAGACTGTGTGGTGACAGGATCCCTCAGCCATTAGCCAAAACAAGAAGGAATAACAAAAGACAAAAATGAAGGAGTTGAGGTCCAGTTAGCTGACACCCTGTTCAATGAAATAGTAGATA